TGTCATTTACGATATGTTATCGTTGTGTTAACAAAGAAAGGGCACTTATAAGCACTCAGTGAAATCATACTTAAAACTCGAAAAGAACTCGTTTTTTCTCAGTCTTTGTACGAAGCGTGTCATCTCAGAAGTCTATAAATTCTCAAATTAGTCCCCTTTTGTGATAGTATGGAAGGGGCCGCAAGGCTAGGAATACTTTAGTCATCACACACAAAGTACGAGCGATTGTCTAACTCTTAGAACTCAAAAATTTCCTATCAACCGGCCTCATGCACGCATTTGAGTGGTACATAGGCAGCGACCTTCGCAGTAGATTCACGGCTTGAGGTCGAAGAACAATCACCGCGCACTCACACGATTCTTTGAAGCTCACGTCGACACTCTTGAAACAATGTGCTAAAAAAAGCCGACTATGTGACTCTGTCACTTCATCTGTCCTCTTGACAACGACACCCACCCAACATTCTCTCTCATTTATAAAGCAGAAACTTGGTTTGTCGGTTTGTAGGTTTGTCCGCCTGCGAAACTTATTATTACGATAACCTTAAGTTACGATAAAGGTAGTGGTATGAAAAACTTGGTTTAATTTTACAATTCTTTCTTATATATAGGGCCGTAACTTGGTGGGTAGGTTGATGGAGTAGAGCAATGCTGCGGAGTGAAGTCAGTGACGTGGAGTGAAGTGGGTACTTCAAAGCTGTGATTTCGATCTGTACCGCATCGTGCTATGTATGTCCACACAAAAATCGGCGATGATAATGTGGTCGGAAGCACTCCGCTTCTTTTCAACATAATTTCAACTTAAGAAGGCTAGCCCTTAATTGGGCTCAGGAACGTTTCTCAGTCAAGAACATACAGTTTTTTGAAATGAGCTCTAGGAGGGAAGGGGTGGAAGGGTGAGTCAATTGAATATTCAGCTCACACCTCATCCTGTATTTTTGCACGAGGTAATCATCCCACCCCCACCGCTCCTCCACTGCTGAAGCTTAGCTCGAAACCATATTCTATCGCCTAGAACCGTTTCTAAGTACAGGTCAGGTCGGCTACCCTTCCTTTGCACTCTAGCCCTCAGTGTTGGATAACAGCTATGCTCTCCATATTCCCCCCCCCCCCCCCCCCCCCCCCCCNCCCCCCTAGCTACACTTTTTCTAACTACTTGGTAAAAAGTAAGTAAGAAGGCCCTTCACTAACAAATCTATGCTGCTCTCCTTGGCAGTGCGTGAACATTGACGTTCATTGGTCATTCATCTATTCAGGTAAGTGTGAGTTTTTGAAACTCAAATTTCCATGTTGTGAGGTCCGACCTTTGGTATGCTTTAAGTGAATATTCATCTCCGCTCTCTCTACGTGCCGAAATATTGAGAATATCTTCTTTATTAGCCACTGGCAGAATAATTGAGATGTGAAAAGGTGAGGAGATGGCGATGCTGTGAGTAGGAGCACTCCGCCATACCTCCATGGAAGTGGGTATGGTTGTTCAACGAACCCTCTCTTTCTTGAGAGCTGATTATTCCGTATGTGTGGTAGGATTATAACACCTACAAAGCCTCTCCTTATCGCAAGCTATCAGAGATGGAGGGAAAAGAAGTAGGGGTACTTCTCCATGAAGTGCAGCATTTCCTGGAAAAATTGATGGCTTCAGAACAACCATACGATGTCACTTTAACTCAGAATCAACAAGTGGTTATCAACAAAGTCCCCATCCCGAGAGAGTTGTAGGCTGATGTCAGGCTGATCCTTTTTGATCCTTTTGAACCTCCGGTCGTCGGTCGTACCAATCGAAATAATACTTGGGTGCAGAGAATATCTACTAGTTAGATACCAGTCCTCCGCTACTTAAGTATCATGTAAAAGGCGTTAGGGTCATATCAACTTCCACGTTGAACTAAAAAACAATTCTTCCCATTTTTGCATGATAAACCAAACTTTTCGAAATCACTCTTCAGAAAACGAGCTTCCTTTCTTCAACAGAGCGGCCTCTTTCGGTGTCTAGTGAGGCCTCAGAGAACCAGAGGGGCATTTAGCAGCCTTGAGAATCTGCTTGCATTCCCTTATCTTTAGTCCCTTTCTCCTCCTTTTTTTGAAGTGTTGCCGCCAGTCACTGGCTTAGCCAGCTGAATTCGCTCTGTCTCAAGACTTGTCTCGGCAGAGCCTCGGAGCATTCGTCATAGGGGGATTATTGCCTCACACTCTATGTGGACGTTTATTCCCTTGACAAGCGGAGAAGTTCAGGGAAAGGACTAAAATAATGATGTCACTACCTGGTTTTTCCTAATAACGCTGTGCGAAGGCAAGCTGGTTTCCCGTGGATATGTGAATGTCAGCGAAAGGATTTTCGGGAAATAATGCGAAACACTGAGTTGAAAGCGATCAAATTCTTATCAGGACATTCAATCACCTCAGCAAATGAAGGAGAAAAAATGTGCCACTTTTTCCTTTTGCTACATTGCTGGGTTCATTTACAGTATTATCCTTCTAATTTTACGCTTTCTTCGAAACTTGAAGATCGTTTGCTCACCTCGAAACAAAAAGCTTGCTATAGGAAATGAAGCAGTGCTATTGGAAACTTTATGGGGAATTCGTTCACGTCCTATTCGGCCACTGCCGTTTTTCATATATTATAGAATGTGCAGTATTTAGTCAGAGCGCGAATTTGTCGCTAGCGGGAGGGACTCTAATTGCGCCACAAAACCGACCTTTGCTCTCATGGCTAGGACTGCCCTCTGAACGTCACTTTTCGAACTTGTCGCCTCGCCCTAGTCTGGCACTTCGCGAACCTTTCTTTTCATCAATCATGGATGAGGATCGATATCGTGGAAATGGAGGGACAACGATGTACAAGTTCTTGGGGAGTGTATTAGATGGAAGTTTGTACATTCCCTAGTCTTTGAGTTTGTACGTCCCCTAGTCTCTGAGTAGGTTTGAGCGTAGCATGACAGTAGTTCTAACCAAGTATGAACTTTCGTGGTTCTCTGAGACTGATCAAATGATTCCATACTTGGGTCTTTCTCTAATATCTGGGTTGAGAATGTGTACGTGTAATACGATTTTAGTTTTAGTTTACTCGTTTGTCAACTGCTTTTATCTTTTGTTTCGCATGTCCTATTACATTAATTTCAAGAGGTTTTTTTAAACTGTGTTTGTCTTAGCAGCGTAATAAATGTAGAACATAGAGCTTGAGAAACGAGTAGATAGATGGTCCTTAGAAGCTCCAATGATAAAAGACATGCAACAATGGGCTCCAGGTCGGATTAGTATCTCCCAAAGGCATACAATCCATTTGTTCCACCTTTACCTCTTCCCGAAAACTTTTCTCTTCTCTGCGCTTTCCTTTTATTCTGATAAAGTTATTCTTTCCGCCAGCCTTATAAGACGATATAAACTATATGTTGTCTCTTCCCCTCCTCCATCTTTAATCGTTGAGTCCTGACGCAGGCATGATGTCAAAGCTTGCCAGTAATGCTTTGCACTGTGCCTAATACCAGGTGAACACGAAGTACAAGGCTTATCCTAGAGCTGATCTTGTGATTAAAGTGCAGTATCAGCTGTGGAAGCAGAACACACGGGGGAAAGGATTCACGAAGATAATCAGTTCAGCCTGAGCCATTTTCCGAGAGTCATGAGTCCAATATTTCCACAAATTGTAGAAATTTTCCGGTGGTTATTGCTTTTGTCTGTTCGATACCAGCAATGTTTTCTTTTGTGGGAATGCATCAGTGCGGTGAAAACGGAAGTAACTCGCACTTCATCCAGTGCGCTACGTACTTGATCAATTCCGTGACGTAGTCTTTCCAGTTTTCTGGAGAGCTACAAGAACGATTGTGAAGAGAATGACTCAATGCCAGTTGAATACTGGCATAACCACACCACTTCATGATTCGCTGTCTCTTTGAAAGCCTTCTTTCAGAACTCTACGATATTCCTTACTGATCGTGCTTCTGCGCACCTCTTCTCAACTGGGCTCCTTTCATTATTCATTTTCCTCTTCTTTTCTTCTTTTCATATCTCTCCCCTTTTACAGTTTCAATTCTAGTTCGACGAAGTGTTTTTCCTGAATTAAATCTGAGCCTCTTTTCTGGGTCCGGCTGTAACTCGGCAGCGTGCCTAATTACTCGTTGTTCCGGTATCTTCTGCAGACCTTTTGAGAACTGACTGCTTTTCCGGAATGTTCGTCAAAAAAGCTGTGTGACATGGTTAATCTCAGATGTTCCTGCCAAACATACGTGCGACGAAGATAAATTGCTCAACACTGATTAGCCTCTCTGTGGGCGTTTGTGAATCCCTCCGGTAGGGTGTCGGTAGAAGTCTGATGCAAGCCTGAATCGTGGAGCGGGCCCCTTTAAAGGATAATTTGCTGTGCCCCTTTAAGGGCAGAGTTTACGATAGAAATGGTTTCTGAGATTCCCTCCACAGGATGAATTTGAGGCCCCGGCGTATACCATATCTGGAACTATTAGGTCGGAAAACGGCCTAGTTAGGATGCTCTAAAGGCTCGAAAATTAACCCGTGTGTATCCTCGGACGAGTTTCACCGGCATTATAGAGGCTGCACCGATCACAAGGGAACTGATGTAGGAAGTTAAACAACTTGGCATCACCCATAGCAACAGTGTGGGACAGATCTGTACAGTTCTGGCTTGATGTAGTCAGCTCTTTGCGCAATTGCAATAACTGAAATCCCGTCCGAATACCCCAAGATTGTTACACGTCCTAACGTTGTCTATTTCTAGACAAAAAGTTTATGAAGACCAGAAAGCTGATCCAACGCCGAGCACTTTGTCTTTCAAGCTTTCGTTACTTTTATTTGCAGATGTTTGACATTTTTGCGCTCCGAGTTATTCTTTGAAGGCTACGATGGTCAAAGATATTGACCGTTGGTTTCTGAATGATTCGTCATAGATTACGTAACGAAACGAATCATTTCTCAGCCTTGTTTTTCACAACTAGTAATCACAATTACATTTTCCAGGTAACTCGGGTGGTCAGGCGGTCATTTCCTCGATGCTACGCAACCCACTGGTGAGGTCAGCAACATCACCATCACGACGTCTACTCTTCCATGGCGCCTCGGATTCAGCAGTAATCGATGACGAAGATGAAATGCCTTCCATAATGAGCCGACCTGAATCATTTTCTTCGTTATCATCTCTAAGGTTGACAGCTGGCATGGAAAATCCATTGGTTAAAAACCAAATACCGACTATCCAACAATTCGACGAAAATGGACGGGTTCGAGAGGATACCGATGGAGGCTTCGAAAATGACGAAGGCGAGTCTTCTCACCGTTATATTTTCTGAATATGTTGCACATCATTTCGTCGGGTGACTTTCGTAATTGAACCTTTCTAAGGAGCTATTTGAAAAAATTTGCACCCAAGTGGAGCTCCCTTTCGAAACTATCGGGCAAGTTTGCTCAGAGCAGTCTGAACTCGCCATTCACTCCCTCTGTTCAGAACAAAAGAAAGTTGCTGCTCCTCTTACAGAATTTGTATGATTACCCGGAAACAAAGGGCAAAGCAAAGAGAACGATTTTTTTCCTTGATGATTGCTAATTAAGTTTAAAAGTGCAGAACTTGGGCAGTGTAGTCAAACAATCTGTTAGCAGCTAGTTCTTAGTGGACTGGAACGAGGCGTGTAATATCAGTGAAGCTGTTGACGACAAAAAGGGCGTGGATTAGAAGAATGCAAATCGATGTTTGTCTCTTTCCCATTAAGGTCGCTGAAGTTAGAGGTTCTGTCAACAACGCCTCATACTGTTGTGCTTTTGCCTCCCTTAGCCGTATTTCCCATGTGTAATTTTGAATCTTCTCCTAGAAAATATCGTCGCCCTCCTCGATAGCCGTCACTTCTTTTTTTCTGTGATCTCTCTATTCTGATGTTCTCCCAGTAGTTCGTATTTTCCTCACGGGGGAGTTTTTCGATCGATTCTGGCACCACGCAGTCCCCCTTCTCCCCGTGCACTAACAACAACTTCCATTATAGATTATAAGGTTCCTAGCCAATATTGCCGGTACCTTTCCTAGTTAGGCTATCATTCATGAAGAACTCTGGTCGGAGCGGGAAAATGCGTGTTTTCTGCATAACTGAAGCGGCAGTGCTCCCAGTAGTAATTCTTTTTACGATATGACGAGATGCATTCGTTGCCTTTTCTTTATGTGCTCAAATTTTTTCTCCAAAAGTTTTGTTTTCATTTTAGATCGGATTCTACATTATTTAGAAACCAGTCGGATCGCCCAGCTAACACCGGGCTCTCCTCCTTCTTATGTAATGCCCGGCTACGCCGGGCATCCTTCTTCTTATGTAGTAGGGACAAAGAGTGGTACAAACAAACAGGGATTTATTTTCGATGAATATAACATGAAACTGTTTCATTCTAATAATGACTTCCTCGGATAGTGCTTGGTCAGTGGATGATACAGAAAGTCGCTAAGGAAGCATACCAATCTAGGGCCTCCGGTCTAATCATAACCTCACTGGTTTTATGAGGACGCTAATTTACTCCGATACCACCTCCTTCAGAACGAATAGAAAGCAATTCCAGAGAGCACTGTCCGATCTGAAAAGAGTGGAGCTTGCTTTCTCGGATAGTGCTTGGTTAGGGAATGCTCCATGCCATCAGGGGTTGCCCATAACATAACATCGTCATCTCCATCTGGCGAACCCCGTCCACTCCAGGGATTCGGCCATTCTCTCCCTGATACCTCCAGCCACTTCTTTCCCGTTTCTAGGGCGTTTTTGAATAGACTCATAAATATTCGATTTTGGCCTCGCCACCCCCCCCCCCCCCCCCCCCCCNGACGCCTCCTCTGATACCATTTGTGCAGGAATGAGGTCGGAAAACGGTCTGGATAAGGCACAATAAGAGCAGGAACAGTGGGGGACGGGAGGCCTCCGCCTTCGTGCACTCGCCCGAACACTTCCTTAACCGCCGTTCTTCCAATGTGAAACTCGTCCAACCCCCCTTTCCAGCTCTTTTTTGACCCTTTGTAATTCTTTTTGTTCCTCGTTTTTTTTGCGCTTTTTCGTTGTTATCGCTTTATTCTAGAGTAGTTCCATGAATTCCCTTCAAAAAAGGGTACCCTAAATTTATCGTAAACGGTGCCTTTAAGATGGGCGGAGCTTTGCTATGCACGCATGCCCAGCACCGTGAGGCCCTCTTCACTCTTTTTATCATTTTTTCTAGCCTCCAAGCATTATTTGTATGGAGTTATGAACCTGTGGGGAAAGTACCGCCCAGTGCAAGAACGCTCCGCCCACTATCGGTGGCTCTCCTTCACTTGGTTTGTTGACCGGTCCCTCTAGTTTGATTATTTTTTCTTGGTGTCTAGGCTGTCAGAAACTTATTTAAGACGTTTTGCCCATGACATCACCCAATCCTGTGGACTCGCCCTCGAAGGAGGAGCTTTGCTGTGCTCAAATACGTTATTTGATCTTGCCCTATGCCCAACCCTCCCAAACTCTCAAACTTGACCCGACTTATGCAGGTGCTTCCTAAGGTAATATCGAATTTCTGTACATTGAACGAACAAACAAACAATCAGCTGTCGTATAGATTTTGCCTAAGTTCCAAATTTGGAAAACCTTCATCTAGCTACTGAAGTGTTATGGAGTGGATAGTTCTTCGGTGTGCGCATCTGTGAGCAAAATCCACATTTAAAATTAGAGATTTCGATTAGATTAGTTTTCTAGTGATTTCTATCTGCAGAAAAATACGCGTCTAGTTTGGACATAGGTTAAATGTAATGATTCGGTAAAAATTTTTCATGAGCAAAAAGTTTTTTTGCCCAAGAAGCCTAACCTCTCTCCTCCCTCAGTTAGCTGCGAACCGATAGTTGAATCGTCCATAGTATAGGGATTTAGCATGACAGTGAAGAGTCAGGAGAACGCTTTTTACGGCCGCTCCCAGTGAAGTTTGTAACTCAATGAAGGATCACGATTCTTCTTGGCTTCGATATCACTTTTGGCAAGGCTTATTCACCGCTAATGATCTTAGATCCTCGTCTAATGAAATATATGTATCCGCTTCATTGATAACGCATTTAATCATTTGCCTACGTGATTTTTGGGCGGACGCACAAACGGGCATACAAACGGACACACAAAGTTAGCGGTTTATATATATCATGGATCATGGAATGGATGATTTAGCTACAATCTTTAACAAAAAGACAATCAAAAAACATGTGCCCAACAACTGCATTTATGTTGTACGGGTTTCATTTCAGTCTGGTGAATTTTGAGATCCGGCCGGCAAAGATTAATCGAATGGACGCTAACACTTGTTCATCATCTTTTCTAATTGTTTGGGGAGTCAGTTACAAGATGGTCCCAGAAATCATCGCATTTCTTTTTTTTTCTGCTTTTGAGCGAAAGTTGGGCAGTGTCAAGTACCTAACGCTACCACCACGGATCGAATCCCAAGCCAATATACGTCTGCCCAAAAAAACCTTCCAACCGTACGGGTTCGACTAATTGTCACTGCATAGTCATTGCTATTGGGAGGGAAAAGCACTGGGCTGCATATCGGCTGACCACCGCAGCTCATGTATAGGTCACATATGCATTCAAAACCCGCACGATTCTAAATGGAGGTCGAATATGGTGGCGCATCCTTAAAAGGGTTGTTTGACGTCAAAGACTTATCTCTCACCGTTCCACTCAACTTCCTCGTTACAACTCTAAAGTTGTCCTCTAGCAAAATGCTCTGCTCAGAAAGGAAACGATGGAATTTCAGAGAAACTTCGACTAATGGACATTCTGTTATGTAGGGCCTAAATTTAACCTGAGCATGGTGCGGGTGGAGTGAAACAAATTGTCGCTAAAACAAAAAAAAAGCTTTCGACTGCTATAGATAAACATCAAAGACAGAATACTTAATTTCAATTTCCCATGGTGAGAACATGTGATGGGCCATTTACTTGGTCACGACCTCTTCTGAACACTTCAGCCTGCTTTGGCCTTCTACTCTCAATTTGACACTTGCTTACATGTAGTTCAAAAGCTCATACTCTGCACTATCCGGACATATAGGGAGGTGTAAAGGCAAGTGGCGCAATATAACACATGCGTGATTCGAGTTCTAATCCTGGATCGGTATTCGCCCAAGCTAACAAAGCATTTCGTGTCTTCTGCTGAAGCATGCACTCATTGGTTCCTCGGCTGATCGTTGCAAGAAGTTGAAAAGACACCACATACCATTCAGAAGGCCTGCACGATTCTGTATGGGAGTCGAATACGGGAATGCATCTCGAAAACGGGATTGTGAGGTCCAAGGGACCATATCCCACATTCTTTTCTTCAAGCCTATGTCTCGTTTTCTAATTTTAGAACCGAACAAATGTGACTGAGGTCATGAATTTCGAACACAAATGATAAGAGGTTCTGACGGCAAGAGCGATAACATCACTTAAAAATTCATGTTTCACCTGAAAACTAACAAAATCAATCAGTGATGCTAACTCCACCGTCTTTAGTGACGACCTCCTTCCAAGGTTCTGTATGTTTTTTAATGCCTTTAAGGTAGAAACCTTCGAGTGTGTCGCTTGGCCTAACGGACAATTTTCGAACTTTGATGGAAAAATCATTTTTGGAAAACAAAGTGGTAGGACTGCATAGACAGCCCAATAGAGGATTTTCAAATGAAGCCATGTATTTTGAAGCAGTACTTTATTGCTCGATTTTCTGCTCTGAAAATTTAGAATTCGAGATATTATGATTGTGGGTTTGGTTTATTCTTGTTGACTCCGTCTCCCACGAATCGTAGAGAGCAAATAACCTGAAACACATTGATTCCCAAAATGAATTGAATCATTTCATTAGGCACTGGATTTTTTTCGGTTTGATCTGAAACCTTGAATTTTTGTGAGAAAAAATCTAGTTCGAACAAAAAAAGAAATTACTCAGGTGACGCTTATGAGCAACCTAATATAACAGTCGCTTTCGGAATATTCGTTATTTTGATCAAATAGCCGTATATTTCCTGATTGTCTATCTGCATATATTTATTGATGGGGAACAATCACCAGGAACAACTTTCATTTCACTTTGACCAAGGACTTTCACTGTACTATACGGCCACCGGATCATTGGAGACCAATAATACACATTTCTGCACTATACGGGACCACCTGACACCCTGTGTAGAACTTGGTCTACCCTCTAAAAGTTCACGTCTAGCTTCTTGATTATGAGACTTACAAGAAAGTGTGCAGTCGGACTTGCTCAAACATTATGACTCCAAAGGTTTGTCAGAAATCTCAAACACCAGTATTTGCGACCAGCACTTTCTTCTTTATCTT